TGAGGAGGAAGGAGCAGCAGAAACAACGTGTGATGAACTGACTGCAACCCCCATTCCCTGTCCCCCTGAACCGCTCAGGGGGAGGAGGCAGAGAATTTGGGAGTGAAGTTGAACCGGGGAAGAAGGGAGGGGTGGGGGGAAGGTGTTTTAAGATTTAGTTTTTATTTCTCATTATCCTACTCTGATTTGATTGGTAATAAATTAAACTAATTTCCCCGAGTCGAGTCTGTTTTGCCCACGATGGTAATTGGTGAGTGATCTCTCCCTCTCCTTATCTTGACCCACGAGCCTGTCATCATATTTTCTCTCCCCTGTCCAGCTGAGGAGGGGGAATGATACAGCGGCTTTGGTGGGCACCTGGCGTCCAGCCAGGGTCAACCCACCACAAAAATATAATGTGAATGCTTATCTTTTTATGGGTGCATGTACATACACTGTTTATACACACATACAGTGCGGGCACACACATATATATGCGCACCTACACACAAACACAAGCACTTTCCCACCTCAAATCACTCAAATTTATACAAACCTTCATTAACAAGCAATTTGGGAGAGAGATAACATTGCAGAAGGGAAAGCTGCCTCCAGGCCATGCTTCCCCCCAATTAAGTTTAAAAACAGCTGAGAGAGAAAAAAGGTTTGTAAGGAACGTGGCACAGGGGTGCTAGCCCAGTGCCAGAGCAGGCACGTGTGTGTGCACTTAAAGGAGTAATCAGGGGTTGAGGCAGAGAAATACCGCTTTCTCCCTTCTACAAAGAGCTTCTCTCTGCCTGAATCGGGGCACCAAGGATGATGCTTCAAGCCTGGTTTTGCAGTTTGTGTGGGGTGAGGATGAGCTCCAGTGACCTTTGGATAATCTGCTTGGCTGATACTGTCAGCATCAATATCTGTCACATTCAGACTGTACTGCAGTGCCAGGTCTCAGCTGTCATACAGCAGTCACCAGGGGCTACTCCAATATGTCAAGTGACAGAGATATTGGTTACAAAGCCACCCTTCCTTTTCAAGGAAATTACCCAAACCAAGCAGAACCCTTTTTCCATTACAGTATATAAGTAGCTAGAAAAACTGAAGAACTGAAGCATCTACTACAAGAGAATCCTAATTATCCAAAAAAATGTGAAGCAACAATCACAAATCTTGCAGAATTAAAAGCTGAGAAAATTGGGGACAAATGGAGGAAGACGGACAGAAATGAATTAGCTCAGTGAGCATATAACGAATGAAAAGCAATTGAAAACCCAATTGTGCAGCTGAGGTCAAAGCACTATGTCAGTAAGAATGATTTTCTGCCATAGGACAGTGGTGTGTACTTCTGCACAACAATTCAGTGAAAGAGTTGTGGGCAGTTTTGAGTGTAGGAAGAAATGTTCACGCTTCATCTGCAGGTACACTTTCCATGGTTCCTGGATGAGCATGACTGTCTCTACTTATATTCTTTCTTCCAAAGCGCCCACAATGGTCGTGGTATATTTACTTGGGTTTGTGATGTGAAAATACTTTTAAAGGGCATGACAAAGCTGTACACAGCTTTATTGCACATAGAGGAAGACAGCGGTTCATCTTTCAGCTTTCTTCAGACAGAAATTATTTATCTCTAATTAGGATGAAAATAGGGATTTACATATTTTTAGCAAACATTCCCAGATTTACAACACAGAAGCTTGCTGGAAAATGCAGTGAATTGCTGCTGTATAACATGAATGTCTTCTCAAGTAAGGTCTGTTGTATCAGAAATAGAACTGGACTAGGCAGTACTTTGAGATTATGTATCTGCTTAGCAAAGCTGACCATAAACACTATGTTCATAATAGAACAGAAAGCACCTGTCCCATTTTTAAAGCATCTCTGATTCATAACAACTTCATTGCTAGACTTAAATGGCCAAATTTCTGTGCAACAGGATGTTAGACATCTCCTCAGGAAAATTTATTGGAATTCATCCTTTTTAAAGGACCAGGGAAGAAGGAAAGGTGGGATATGAAAGCAACAGCCTTGGACCTTGCAGTGTTTCCACAAACACGCAATAGAGTGGAAAAAGCATGAACTTTCAAATGGGAGTTGAAATGAGAATCCAGGAAAGAAATGGCCTATAAATACACTATAGACAAGCTATATGGCTCAGTAAGCCAGAGCGTTGCCGCTGCCTTGTTGACATATTGTCCCCCAGCCTACTTAGTTGCTGAGATACAACAAAAGGGTTTTACCATCTCAGCACATTCACGCTATTT